CTAAATAAATAAATTTATTTTATGAACTTTCATGTTTGCCTCTATTTCTCTTCAACTATAAAATGTATTGAATTATATCTTTTTTTCAAATTTGTAACAATTTAGTCCTTAAACAAGAACAAAATTTAGTTTTACCATGTAAAATATTGTTAAGATTTAATAAGTTTCTTAAATATGCAGATTGATAAATAGTTTATAAACTATACGAACAAAAACATTACATAATAAAAATACTACCAACTAAATTGTTAGATGCTAAACTTTAAGAACTAAACCATCACAAATTTAATGGTATAGAGACCAAATTTTTACTTATTAAGTTCAAAAACTAAATTATTACTTCAATGAAAAACTAAATTATTACTTCAATGAAATTACATGATGGTATTCATTATTATGATTTTAATAAATTATTACCATTACTTAAAATTTAACGTGATAGGTTGATTAGATCAATGAGTGACCATTTTACTTGACATGAACTAAATAAATAATGCAACTAAATAAGCTTAGGATAGCAAAAAAAAAAATTAAAAAATTAAAATGAAGAGTTGTCTGCATATCTAATGGGATTTATTTAAGTAAAAATATCACAAATACAACCAACGAAAAAATATTTGCAAATATGACCCAAAAAATAAATCCAAAACTTTCCCAAAAACTCATTATCCTCTTTTACAAAATTACCTTGAGAGTCAATTAATGATCAGTGACTATCGGTTTTTTACTCAAATAACCTCCTTGAGTTTTAAATTTGCTCAAATAACCCACCACTCAAAATTTGTTTTAAATGACCTACATCATCTTTTTTCTGAAATGTACCCAAATACTCTTCGTTTCAAAGTAATTTCTCGGGCAAGATCAAAACTTTAACAGGTGAAATATGTGAGAAATAACAACATAATATTGTTGTTGGGTGAGAGTTAGGCGAGAAATGTGCTCGACTTACATTAAATTCACGGCCCTGAAACCTAATTGTCTCGCCCAAAAATTGAAGTTTTTCCAATTAACGCAAACACCTAACTTCCCCACACGTTTATTGTTCAACTAACAATTCCTAGGAAACTCTTTTTCATCCGTGCATTTTGTACTGAGCTCTCAAAAGAACAAAAAGAATATTGTACATTATTGAATCTGCACTTAGTTTGTGGTTGAATAAATTTTTTCTACACGTAGGTAGTTATCATACATGTAACCATTATAGTGGGAATCATCACTCTTAGATACATTATTTTTATAAGTAGAGTTCCAGATTCGATATGGAACGACTTAGTATTTCTCCATTCATTCTCATCCAATCAAAAAATATTTTTTTTTTATTGTTGGATGGGTTAATTTCTTGATATTGATTAATTGTGAGATAAAAAAAATCTTTCTTATCGATTTTTTCAATTTTTTGAAAATTATTAACCCTAGTTTTAGTATTTTTATTACTGTTCGTGTCAGCCTCAATATTGATCCAAGCTCCAATATCGGCCTTATTTTTAATACAAAAATGCAGCACTTTAGAAACGATGATTTGTTAAGCTCGCATATATGCATCTTTGCCTTTTTATCAGTTTTTTTTTATGTTTTTTATTTTGTGGAAACGTAAAGTGCATCGGTGTTTTCTTTGTTTCTCCCTTGTGTACAATATGTGGGTTTGAACCTCTAGTTGAGAATTTTTTGATAATTCTCGAGCGAAAATAGATGTATTTTCGTCCAAGATGTATATTTTTTTTATTATCTTGTCACTTCGCTCGAGATTCTCACTCGTTAATTAAGGACATTTCGCCCGAGAATTTTGATTTGTGTATATTTTTTTTATCTCTTGTCACTTCACTCGAGATTCTCGCCTGTTAATTAAGGCCATTTCGCTCGAGAATTTTGATTTGTATATAAATGCTATGATTTTTAAGAATAATGTTGGTGTTGATTTGTCATGCATGATGYCTTGTCTCATTATTAGCTCTGCTGCAATGTGGAATGAGTCACAATTTATCTATGAAGGCGGAATTATGGAAGGTTTGGATATGGACGATAGTATAAACGTATGGTGAGCTTATAAATGCTTTGTTTAATCTTATCCGAATAGATCTGAACCAGTTCAACATCTTGATACATTGTGTATACAATTTCAATTTGCAATACCAGGTTCCAAAATATTATACATTTGATGACCACAACCTTAGATTTTTTTAAGAGGCCCTCCACATCTCTCTGAGGTCTCATTATATATATCTGTTGTTTCAAAGGAAAGACACGGTAGTGGAAGTACTTCACATAATCGTACCATTCCAGGAACCGAAGCATTCCATCCATCTCCTCACCAGTTAGGACAAATCGTTCCCTATTATGTGCCATCAGTTCTTCTTGAGTCCACGCACCCGGGTGTTGGTCCATCATGTTGTCTCCCATCAATAATGTTGATAACGGATAATGTGATCCCATGTGACTTGGGTGATGATGAGACAAACTATTGTTGTGAATGGGGCGATAATTATGAGAACCACATGAATTATGATAGAGAGGATGATGAGAACCACGATACTGAGTTGGAAAACGATACTGATGGTTAGTATGATGGAGAGGATGATGTGAACCACGATAATGAGGAGGAAGTAGACCTAGAGGATGTAGCCACTCCATCTTTCGACCCCTTGAGCGAAGTGCACATGGTCAGTACGAATTCACCATGTGCAACAGGTTAAGCTTCGTGCTCAAGGGAATTCACAAGGATAGGTGATGAAGTTGGTTTTTCAACGGAAGACATTGCGGTAGGGAGTACCTTTCGATTGAAAGAAGAATTACAGTTCAAATTCTCGTTGTTTGCAATGAGATTGAATTTCGAATATCACGTGAGGAAAACTACGAAGAGTTTGTACACTGTCTGATGCTTGGAGAATGGATGCAAATGGAGCCTGCGTGCAAGGAAGATTAAAGGTTCTGATACATTTCTTATATCTACGTTCCATGAGATGCACAGCTGCATACGTGAGGTGATGAAACATGACCACCAACAAACTCGAAGTCACGTGGTGGGTCAGATTATAAAATCTAACCTTGAGGATGTAAGTCTCCGTTATCGTCTAAAGGATATCGTTAATGACATGCGGAAAAATTATAGAGCTAACATCCAATATGAAAAGGCGTGGAGTGCCAGAGAAAGAGCGTTGGACCTACTAATGGGATCGCCAAAGAAGTCCTACACTCTCTTGCGTAAATATGGCGAGGTGTTAAAATTGGTGAACCCGGGAACGATTTTTTCCATGAAGCTGGAAGACAATAAATACTTTCAATACGCGTTCATGGCTCTAGGCTGCTCTATCAGAGGCTTTAGAAGTTGCATTCGTACTTGTCATCGAGGGTGCACATCTGAAGGGAAAGTATAAAGGTGTGATAGTCATAGCCTTTTCTATTAATGGTAATAATCAGATATATCCACTGGCATTCGGAATTATGGATAGGGAAACCAACAACTCATGGACTTGGTTCTTGGAGCGAGTGAGTTGTATTTGAGACATTGATGTATTGGTATTCGTGTCCGATCGCCACCAAACCATTAATCACTTTGTAGTTGTCGTCTTCCTCACTGCACAACACGTTAAATGCATGCATCATGTGCAGATGAACTTGAACGATAAGTTCAAGATTAGGAATGAGGACATGCAGAAGTTGTACATTCAAGCAATTAAGACATCAATAAGTCTACGTTCAGGTACTTTTAGAACCAACTCGCGGGATTCCTAGAAGTGCAAAAGTATCTAGCGGACATCGGATTCGATAAATGGTCACGTGTATATCAATCCGAATTGAGTTACAACCAAATGACGACTAACATTACAGAGTCCATGAACGCAATACTTGTGCATGTACGAGCATTGTCGGTTACTGCACTGTTAGATTATTGTAGGGCTCTACTACAACGATGGTTCTATGAGCGGCGAACATATGCATCTACAAGAGCATCCATTTTGACTGACTCTACTGATAACATTTTGAAAGAAGCTGTGGACCAGGCCCGACGACACAGCATTAGACTGATTGACAATTATGAGTACGAGGTTCACTCTGGTAGTAGTAAAGTGCGTGTCGATCTAAATATTGAGACTTGTACGTGCAAGCAGTTTGACTACTACCAGATTCCATGCTCTCATGTTGTTGCTGCAACCATGCATCAGAATGTCAATATGTACACATCGTGTTCGTCGTAGTACAAATTAGAGACGTGTATTATGCCGAACCAATCTAGCTATTGGGTAATGAGGAGAATTGGGTTTTACCTGAAGACTTTGTTGAATCCACCATCGAGCCTCCGAAGTTCGTGCAAAGAGTTGGCCGACGATAAATAGTACGAATACCTTCGGCCCGAGAACCTCAAAAAGTTCACAAATGCAGTAGGTGCGGAATTCAAGGTCACAATAGAAAAACTCGTCACCAACCGCTACGAACGACATAGAGTTAGATGCATGTAATGTGTATTTCTTTAATGTAAGACAATGACATAAGATTCACCATTGCTATTTTTGTGTTTAAGCATGGATTACATTCATATGWGCATTGATGTTGCTGTTGTTGTCTTGTATAAAATGTGCATTGTTATTGCTGTTTGTGTTCAGGTATTGGTGGAGAAGATATATACAGGGAGGATATATACAAGTTTTGTGGAATTTTTCGGGCAAAATTGCAACACGTTCGCCCGAGAAGTATTTCAGACGTAAGACCTGATTTCTGTCAAATTTCTTGGGCGAACTTACCACGCATTCGCTGTGAGAAATTTGAAAGTTTCGGGCGAGATCGATTAAATGTCACCCGCGAAATTTTGTTTTGTGTATATTTTTTTCATTCATAACTTGAGAAATTACCCATAACTTATATATCCCATATACTCATTTGGGGTAGTCTGATTTGGAAGCTTGTTAATGTTTAGTAATGCACTCAAATGTATCACGAACCAAAAACTTTACAAATATACTCAAATTGGAAGATTATTGATGTAATTTAAATTAAACACTGCTTAATGTACTGGAACGGTTCAAAATATAGATTTGTTTGCCCACAATTCAATGGTAAGTTTCTCCTTAAAAATTGGGATCCTATCCTGAGTTAATGTTGCTAAATGGAACCCCGTTACATCATATTCAAAAAAAATTACACAAAAAATACCACAATCACCACCAGTTTGTTGAGATGCCCGGTTACCTGATGAATGCATCATGGAATACTAGGTAGGGTAGGCCTGAGTACCTTAACACTAGACCTATGCATCAACGCCGGGAGGATGACGTTCATGGGCTTCAGCTTGTTCTTCAGAGCTGTCAGTGTTGTGTTCGCCCTCAAGGAATCCCACACAATGATCTCACCCTCCTCCAGATCGATGCAAACCATGATCCAGTGGTTTCCACCGATGTTGTACCGCAAGTACACAACGTCTAGTTCGAGCTAGAGTTTCTAGTGGTCGGAGTGAGTCTCGTCAACATAGCTAAAGACCGTTTTACACTTGCCCATCCAATCATACTCTTCTGCAACTCTTGTCAAGACAGTGTTTTGGACCATTAAACGCTGGTATATACCATCTGTTCGTCGGAAGAAGTTCTACAGTTGGAATCGAAAACATGATAATATATTAACTAACACCACAAAAAAGTACCTAACTGTTCGTAGTTTAAAGTAATAGAGATCATACTGCAAGTACTATATCACCAGTCTTGAACTTCTTAAAGCACAAATTCAGACGCTACTCAAGCTTGTTGCACGTGAGCATCACCAACGAATCTAGTACCTGTATAGACTAATATTGTTAGAAACGTGTAATATGAAATGAAATTGATATTATGGTTCGATCTTGTACCTCGCTGGTCAACCACTTGTCCGATGTCAGAAGGTTATGATCACGAAACCATGTCTTATCCCTCTTACCGTAGCAAAACTTACGAGTCGAATGGTTAGTTTTGGGGTTTTTCATCCATGCATGGAACTTACAAACATGCTCGGGGGGACCTTAACTAGTGGATCATACCTAGTTACCTTCTTCCTCTTCTCATCCACCATGACTAAGAATGATCCACGAAGCTTTCACGGGAGTTTCCTCTTCTGAGACCCTCGTTAAGGGTTGGGCGGATCATTTGGGTGCGACAACACACGTACGACATCTGCGTCTACTTGTGACGTGTTGGATGTATGTGCACCAGCTTGTGATTTAACCTCTCTCGGTCCTTCCAGGTGGAGTCCGAGAAATCGTCCGCAACATGGTCCTGAAGCGTTCATGTTAAAATAATAAATATTGGATAAGAAGGTCGACGGCCAACACCAACTACATATCTCGTCTCTAGATGACTCGATGTTTTACGATTCAACGATAATATGCTCGATCGGGGTTGCCTCAACACCTTCTTGCACGTCCTCCTTGTTCACATCTTCGTTGGAGGACAAGTTGCGTGCATGTTGCTACAAAGATGACACATTCAACCTTCGTTAGCACAGATGTATAAATGAAGTTCAGATAGTGACGTAACAATACGTTCCAAGTGTTCAGGTGTACGAAGTTCAGCCAATTCTAGTTGAACGATGTCCATTCGATCAGCAGCTTCACCCTCCCTACACATCTCTATGTGGACTATGGCTGCCCCCTCCATCTCCTAGCCCGGTACCATCGGTGGCAGCATCATCACCCCGTTCTCTAGGGGTGCCCCCTCCCTCTCTCGGCTCGATACCAGCAGTGGCCCCGTCATCCTTGGCCCCATCATCACCATCAGTGTGTCCGTCGTCCTGTCCACTAGGACTGCCGCCTCCATCTCCCGGCTTGATACTATCTTCACCAGTACCTTTTCTTTTCCTCACGTCACTCGAATCAACGGGTAAACCCTACAAATTGAATGACAAACTAATAAAAAAAACTTATAAACGACAAATTTGTAAATGAACGACATATTTGTAAATGACAAATCTCTATACTTTAGCAATTCGTCACAAAAATTTCTTGATCGATTTCAGTTCGGCCTCAATGTCTCCCATGCGTTCATCCATTCGCTTGTCCATACTCTTCAAGCACTTTTCAACCCTCTTCAGGCGCCCAGTGGATATGCATACCTTATTCTTACCCTTAGTTTCCTCATTCTCCAACTCGGCATCCTTCTCAACCATTTCAACATCCGCACCTCGACTCTCATCGTCATACTGTGATCCCTCACGTACAGCCGATGGTCCAGCATTATCGCCTCTTTCTTCCATGACGTCATCATCATCTGATACGGGTGGGTCGAATGATCGATTCAAGAAGCTCGTCTCCACATCAGTTTCATCTAGGGTTCGCGTTCTTCCCTACACCAAGGATGAGGTAGCGTCGGTGTAAATATGACAATTAAATTACAAAATAATTTAAATTCAAATCAAACTTACTTTTGTAGAGCAAAAAATATCCCGATCCAGAACATGCCATGCAGTCGAATGGTCGTACCTCCACTTGAAAATATGTGGCACTGTATCATAAAGAACTTTATTTGCAACCCGCATAGATAGGGAAGATATGGTATCGTACGCCCACACCTATACGAATAAGCGATTCACGTTATAAAAAATAATTGAAAACAACACTCGAGAATAAAAAGAAGTGTTTATGTTCGTACCTGGAACACCCATGGGAAACCATACAGACTATATGATTTCCTCAACTTTCCATCCTTTGACATCTTCAATGGGCCACGCTGAAGACTATTTATCGTCTTCTCGAACGACAACGATGCCCAATTGTAGTTGCAACAGACCTCCCAATCGTCAACTATCCCCAGCAAAGTATGGTCAAACTTCACCATTCTCTCTCTCCCCAGCAAACCTATTCCAACCATGTACACAATCAATACCTTAACCACGTCATAATCATCCTCAAACCGTGCGGCTGTGTACATCTTCTCGAAGTCACTCAACACAAGATCGGTCTTATCATTGAAGTACAAGGTCATAAGTCTATGAGGTAATGTGTTTTCCCTAACTGGGGTCCTGACATATTTTAAGCCACTAATGAGGTGAAACTTCGTCCGTTCAAATGACATCCTCCTCCGGAAAAGGTTGAAACTAATGGTGTTTGGTGTACTCTCCTCAACCTCCCTAAGCAATATATTATGTATTAGAGACCCATTAAATACAAGGTCAACATCAAGAAGATGACAAAAAGTAGTTTTCCTGAACATGACAAGTTGTTTGGGGTGAGTTTTTCCTTATATTAGTATCTGTCTTCGTTATGTGCGGTAGACAGGTCACGTTGGCAGAGGCATAGGTTGAAGGATCGATTTTGGGTATCATTTCCATTTTTCAAAACCTGGACAGGAGTAGTGAATACGAAATTAAATACATTAACCATGCAAACAGAAACAAGAAATAACAAAAAATCATGTCTGAAGTATAGCTTTGGAAAATTTCTTGGAGTCGATCTCGTGCGAGATTGGGCCACAAGAAATTTAATCGAACTGTCTTCATTCTTTCTCGTGGCACCTCGAGCGTAAAATCGCTTTCACATTTCTCGGGATCATCTCGTGAGAGATCATCTTGAGAAGTTTAAAGCCACTTGACGCTCTAGGTAGMACGAGAAAGAATGCCACTAACGTGAATCTGTTAAATTTCTTGATTAACCTCGCCCAAAAGACCACCGAGAAATTTAACCGATTCAGTTTTAGTGGCATTCTTTCTCGCGGCACCTCGAGCGTAAAATCGCTTTCACATTTCTCGGGATCATCTCATGCGAGATCATCTTGAGAAGTTTAAAGCCACTTGACGCTCGAGGTAGCACGAGAAAGAATGTCACTAATGTGAATCTGTTAAATTTCTTAATTATGCTTGTTTGGCAGGATTTAAATTATGTATTTGTTTCATCAAATAATTTATATGCCACCATATTTTTTTTAAATATAATTTAATAAAATTTGAAATCATATAAAAATTTTGTTTTTATTAATTTAATATTATATTTTTATGTCAATTTAGTTTAGGTTGGATGACTAATGAAAGAGTAAAATAAATGAGATTGTCAAATAAATTAAGATATTATACCATTGACCAAAGTCTATTTTATATCTAAATGTAGCATATAAATAAAATTGTAATTGTATTTAATACATTAGTGTCTACATTTAATTTTAAAATAAAAAATAAAATAAATGTGAAATAAAGAAAATTGATGAAGAAAATATATACAACAAAAATGACGATGGACAAAATTTCAAAACAAGATATCCTCAACACGAAAATCTTGAAAACTCATATTGCAGGAGGACATCTAAAATTGCTAAGATGCCTCTTATAACATCCTAGAATGCCCGAACATATAAAAATATTTGAATATCCAAGATTTCTATCAAACAAACACACACCGGAATATAAAAATATTTGGATATCAAAGATTCCTATCAAACAAACACACCGGAATTTAGATGCTCATCCCATGGTAATTTCATATTCTCAAGAAACAAATAGAGCCCCTAATTACAATCCATTGAATGAGTGAAATATATTTATTAACGAATTCTTCAAATTGAAGTCTAATGAAAGGTAAATTTTACAATACCTAGACAAACCTAAAATTAAATTTGAAGAAATTAAAAGTTTACTGTGAAATTTGAATGGTAATGAAAACTCTCCCTATAGTTAATAACAGTGGGAACATTTATCTTTTGTAGATAATTATAGAAAATAAATTTCATCATAAGACTCATTTCGTTACAAATAAAACAAAAATGTCTATGACTTCATGTCCATGCACATAATATACAAAACCACAATATAGAACCACTAAAAACCTAATAATTAATACAATTCACAGACACCCAACTGAAGTATGTATGTACACGATTCCAATACGTTATTAAAATTCCGAAGTACCTGATTTTTAAATGGCATTATTTATTATTATTCTTCAGATGCCCACCGAGCAAGGACATGAGACCACCTCCATGCACCCTCCCCTCAGGAATTGAATATTCAAGGCTTTTTATGCCGCCATTGCCATACCCACCATTATTCCCATCTTCATCTTCCTCTACCATCTCTCTACTCACAAAACTAGAATATGACGACGACGACTTCATTGAAGATGGAACCAATACCTGTGGTGGTATAAGCCGATGTCGCTTAGGGGCTGAATCGGTTGAGTCGCATATGAAACTGATTCCAGAAGAAGAATTATGGTTGTCCAGGCTGCTACTTCCACCTGTACAAGCAGAGGCAGACACAAGGCCATGGAACAGTCCCGGTCCGATCAAGCTTCCCTTGTTCGTTTCTCGATCCTGGATCATGCTACTATGAGCAGCACATAAGCCACTCTTACCCCTAGCAAATTTTTCGCACTTGCCCTCTCCTCCCCAGCTGCATCTTTTTCCACCCCCATGGGCCTTGCAGAAGTCTGTGCTCCCTTGAGCACTTTTCCCGCAGTTGTCAAATTTGCACCGTTTCCCTCCACCGTGCCTCACACAGCAATCAGTACGCCCACGGGCACTTTTTGTGCATCCTGGCACTGTGCACCTCTTTCCACCACCATGAGCGACGCAAAAGTTTGTGCCCCCATGTACACTTTTTGGGCAAATCCCACCACCATCAAACAGGCAGCGCTTTCCTCCACCATGCCCCTTGCAAAGGGGAGTACTCCCTTCAGCACCTTTGGTGCAACCGGCAAATATACATCGCTTCCCTCCCCCATGGGCCTTACAATACATAGTACTTCCTTGTGCGCCCTTTGTGCATCTTTCATGCTGGCAACGGCGTCCACCGCCATGAGAGATGCACAGACCAGCTTGTCCTTCAGCACTACGGGTGCAGCCTTCCATCTTACATCTTTTCCCCCCACCATGTCTGATACAAAGGCCCGACTTGCCGCGCGCAGCCTTGACACACCCTCCTGGATATCCGCAACGCCTACCACCACCATGGGCTATGCAAAAATCTGTCTTCCCCTCGGCACTTTTAGTGCACCCCAAATATTGGCATCTCCTACCTCCACCATGAGCTTTACAGTAAGCAGTACGACTCTCAGCACCCTTATTGCAACCAGGTTTCTGGCATCTATGTCCACCTCCATGACCAATACAAAGACCAGATGCCCCTCGCGCGCCCTTTCCGCAGCCCATGTATTTGCACCTTTTAGGATTGCTTGGCTGATGATCTGAATACAGACATTTGGTTGCCTGGTCAATTATAGTTTCTAAGGAATATTCCACGGCAGGTGATACTTCTTGGCTCAGCTTGTTTCCAGTAGCAGTTTCATGAAGCTCCTGCTGAACCAGAACCTTTGAAGTATCCATTCTTGGTGCAAAAAGTAGTGATGGCATATACCCACCTGATTTTTTTGCTGAGGTAGAACCCTCATCGACTAGTGGGATAGACATTTGATTAGCCTCAGCAGCCCATTGGTTCATCAGATAAGATGCACTGACGTCAGTTTCTGCTGAAACTAAACATTCAACCACGCTTGAAGCTTCATTAGTCCCTCCAGAAAGACCAAGCTGCAAAATTGAATCACTCGACGATATTTCCTCTGGTAGAGATGTAACTAATGATTTGTTCTTATATCCAACATTGTAATAATCATCACAATTAGCACTAGGAGTTGGACCCAGTCCAAGTACCAATCTGCAACCGTCATCTGGAGCATAACTGAAGTTAAAATTCAGGTCACTAAGACCAACCTCACATCTAGACGATTTTCTTCCTCCAAAACCAAAACAATTCAAGCTTAGAGTAGTATCACCCAAGTTGTCATCTTTTGTGAGATCACCACTTTGCGAATAATGTGCAGCAGTCTTGTTCAAATCCATTCTCTATGCACTGAAGTCTAAACTAACTGGATAATCTAGCCAAGGCGATTTGAAGAATACTAAAAGCAGATATACATATCAATTCCTAGTAAACAAGCAAGCAGATTCTAACAGGTTACTACTACCTCCACCGCTTACAAAGCCTGACGTGTCTGATCTATCCATTGCTGTATGTACTAACAACCCCCGATCTTCCAAGAAATGCAGCAATATTTTTTAATCAATTCCTAATATATCTGATGACGTTTCTTGGATAGAACCCGTTGATAACAATGAGTAATATTGATATGCAGAGATCTTTGGAGCTCCTTATGCTCCTTGGTGAGAACTCATTCAGCTTCATGAACCCTGAAAGTAGTACATCTTATAAGACAGTTCCCGACCAATTTCATTGAAAAGAAGCTTCTCCATCAATTCACATGCATTGTTGGACACAACAGTAGCAGAATAGTAGATACTGTCAGAGGAGCAAAGAGGAATTAAGTAGATTTCAAGAAGAACGCTTTAAAAGAAGCCTCCAATCTCATGACAACTAAGAATACAATTCAGAACAATATGGAAAAATGTCAAGGATTATACATCCCAACTTTCTAAAAATAAAATGACTTACTTTGCCATTGAAATATGATGTGAAGTTATAAACATATACAATAACTACTAATCCAAAATGGCATTGGCAGGATGTACACGATGAAGTAAACCACCAAGTTGTGATGCTTGTTTATCTTCACCAATCAAAAGAAAAAAAACATTTGAAGAATTGAAGAAAATAAATCCTGCTATTTGAAATTACTACTATCAGCAATTCAATTCACAGGGAATTTTTATCAGAGATATAACAGAAATATCCAGATGGGTTTTTAATATATCAAAAGCTCCCCAAGTTCCTTCACTGCATCGCATTCAATACCTGTTGGACTTTCAGGTACCTTAGCAAACTAGTAAGAGTTTCGAGCATCTGAAGGTTGACACGGACAGAACAACTTTAACTTTCGAATTATTTTTAATGTTTCACTTTGCACTTGAGTTTTTGTGGAATTTTATTTTATGATATTGCTCTCTTTTTTATTACTCATGGTTGGAGAGCTTACATTACTACTGAGAATAGAGGAATCAACGGAAGATTTTATTGGCTAATGGTAATGGGGGATGAAAAGATGAAAAGATGATGGATTCATGGATATATTGATTCCGCTGTCTTGGATGATTATAGTGATTAAATAATCAATCAGACATTGAGAAGCTGTGTAGTTTCTTCACCACCGACTGAATTTGTGTATATGGGAACAAAATAGCAGTATCAGTATCCCCAATATATCTTAGTTTTAGTATCCCCTCGGGGGATGGCGCACTGTTACTGGCATTACCAAGGTCCCTGATCTAATTTATTGATGGAACTTAAATGTAGATTAGGTCTTCTTGTAAAGTAGTACAGTTAGTGAATTGGGTTCATTATTTTGTATATTTTTAGTTTTCAGTTCTCATCTTGTATGTTTGGCTGCAGTTTGAATGCTGTCTGAGCCTGCAGTGGCAGCATCTATTTCTATATACAAAAACAAAAATATCTTAAGACACAAAAATTAAAAATAGATTGCAATTCTACCACAATTTTAGTGAGTAATTAGGATAAACAATCTAATAAAGTTTAAACAAATCAACATAAATAAAAATACTAAAATAAATAATTAACAACAAACTAAAGAAAACTCAAGAACATTGAAATGTTCAAACGACAAAAATATTTTGCCCAATATTCAAAGGCGCTTCTTCCAAAAGGTTGTAGTGAATGTCTTAAAGAAAGAAAAAACTCCTTGAAATTAGGTGTCATTTGCATATAAAACTATAAGTGAATATCCAACTAAAATAGACTCATCTTAGTTCCAAATTAGTTGACTACGACATTAAATACCATATTATCTTTTTGGGTAGTTTGAAAGAAAGAATCAATGCTTGATAGGAAACTGGATTGTTTTCGTTTCCAATCTTCCTTGGCCATTGGGTGGAGAATATTTAATCCCTCTCCCTTCCCACTTATTTTTAGTTTTAGTATGCTTCCCCTCATAATATTTTTTTTTAAATAAAAAAGTTTGTATAAATTTTATTCCAAATTAAAAACTGAAAATCTAGTGTTTGCCTCAAAAATAAAAGCACGCAAGCTAAAACAGCACTATCACTCTTTTTTTTTTTTTTAATAAGAAACAGAATATATTAGAGACCAAAAAAGTAGCTACAGCCTAATGGCGGGGGCCAAGGTGGCCCTCCCCTAAACAGAATATATTAAAACAGCACTATCACTCTAATTTTCCAATTTAAGTTAAATGTTGACAATTATTTGATTTGATATGCTTAAAAATGGAATTGTAGGAACTTTAAATAGCCGGTCAATGCACAACTCCAAACACTTCTGTCGGAAACATAAATTATACTCTTCGATTTCTTATTGCACAAATAATCATATACACAAACAGATATATGCATTGTAAACACATTTGGACACACGGTAGGTATGGTCAAAGGCTCTCCCTAAGTCATGTGGATGCAAGAGAAAGTAAAAGAAAACTAGTGAATTAATCGACGAGAAACCAGAGAAGAGGGTAAAGTAATTGGGAATAGAACACTACAACAAGCAAGTTGAAGAATTCTCATTTTTTGAGCAGATAAAAAACATGTAGATAATGAGGTTTTTTTAGTACAAGAAGTGGGGGCTGGAGGATTCGAACTCATAACCTCTTGGTCAGAGAAGTGTGCCAATTACCACTGAGCTAAACTCGTTGGTAACATGTAGATAATGAGTTAAAAGATTGAGATGACTATTGAACTTTAATTAAAAAGTAATCATTAAGAAACATTTAATTGGCATTAATCGGGTGATAAACATATCATTCATTTTCAAATACTCATAAAACTCAACATTTGGATAAAACTACAATGTTCCTAACGTTCTGATTACTATCAAAAGACAATTACAAAAAGGCACATATATACATATTTTCATTTTAATTGCAAACACTTAACTTATTGATTTATCTTTTCTTTTAACATTTAAGTCATTGGTATGCCCATATAGCACAATATCCCACTGTTTAACTGTACCAACTAGAAAATGAAAACTAACATGACTGGAGTCCTTTCTCAATCTCAAAAGCTCCCATAGCTCTTTGACTAAAACCTACACTTTCTTTTATCCTTCCTTGGTGATAAAATCTTGACTCGTACCCCTAAGAAAAATAATAGTAGTAAACCTTGAATTGTGTTTCCACTTAGGAAGAATTCATACTTCCGATTTGATGCGGAAAACCTCGTCTCATGATCTAGGCCCAAGTTGCTGTGTTCTTTGTAGAAGGGTTGTTGAGGATATGAATCATCTTCTGTGGTTATACCTCTATTTCACAAGAGTTTGGAGTCATTTTTGACAGGAGTTCAGTCTATCTGTCGTGTACAGATCCAGCATCCTAGAGGCACTAGAAGAGGTAGTTATTGACCCTCCTTTGCAGGGAGGGGTCAGGTTCTTTAGTAGGCTGATTCCTTGGTTATTTTCTGGTTTATCTGGCTAGACGGGATAGAAGAGCGTTCCTCGGAAAAGGTAGTTCTTGGGAGGTTATGTGGAATGTGACATTTTCCGTTACTTCACTGTGGGCACTCAGTTCTAACTTATTTTTGCAACTATCCTTTGTTCTTTGATTACCAAAATTTGGGGGCTGTTCAATTGTTTTTGGGGGTGTCCCTCTCCGTTTCAGTTTGACCCCCTTTGTTTTTTTGTCTCTCATTATTTTTGTTAAGTGATAAGCTGACAATAAAAAAGAACACGACACTAAAATTAGTATTAAAGTCGAATAAGGATTGTTCTGAGGTAAACCATTTCTTTTCTTTTTCTTTTTCCTTTTTGATAACTTGGAGTCGGAGTTTTGCTCCCCCTATACCCAGGCGCACTCGCACCAGCCCCAAGGCCCGAACCCGAGAGACATCAAGAATTTTTGGTATTAAGCTCACCAGAAGGTTCGAACCTGAAACCTCTAAATCAATATGGCCCAAAGACCCCAAGCTCTTGCCAATTGGACTGCCCTTTGGTGGCGAGGTAAACCATTTCTAGTTCCTAAATTTCTTTGTAATATTCCAGCTATCTCTGATTAGTATCATATCATATCATATCGCCTCTGAATGATCTATGCATAGAGCAGTAAGTAGGGTAAAACTGTTCTGATAAAAAGGAATCGGTTAGGGGTATGTTTTCTTAAAAAAAGAAAAAAAAGAAGGCCGAACTTCACGCAAATCGTACACCAAGCCAATAAAAATATTAAGTCAACCCGCTTCAATCGGAGTAGGCGATACGAATCACTAGTTGCACTTCCACAGAAAATCTGGAAAACCAAATCTTGGGCGAAGAAGGGGCTTTGAATTTTGCCAGCGAAACAACTTAATCATGCAAATCGAAAAATCAATTAAGCATTTCGCAGATCTTAAACTATATACCTCAGCTTAATAATTATTAAAAAATAAAACAATACAGAGATTCAAAATCAATATGCGTGCGTTTATTCAAAACAATATCGAGAAACGACGCGACCAGATAACAAAGATTAAGATTTGCCGCAAATAATACACTGCACACCTGGATTATCAGTGACACCATTAGAATTGAGTAAAATAAGAACAAAGCTAAACTCTGAAATCTAATCCAGAAGAACTTACCTTAAAATATAACAAAATCTACGAGAAATGAAAGAAGTAGGAAATCGGAGAAAGGGAAATAAACATAATAGATGAGATGAGATGTACCGTGGTGCAATATCTAGGTGAGAATCCGGCGGAGTGGAGAAGCAATCGGAGGCATGTTGAAATCTTGTTCCGAGTTCCGAGTCTGGAAATCGGCGAGAGGAGAGAGAGGAAAACAGAAATGCAGAAGAACTCCAAGTCCAAGTGGAAGAGAGAAATTGTGGTGGTGGTGAATGATGATGTGGTTCAATAAAATAAAAGAAAATTGAAATTGAAATTGATGTGGGCGGCTCAAATGGAATCTACAAAACCATTTTGATACATGGGGTAGCGGCACCCCACTTTAACGTCCCTTCAATTCCATAAATAGCCTTTTGCTTAACACAAAACGACAACACAGTTCATCAAGTGATTTTTAAGAATTTCATATAATATTTCTTCTGAATTTTGTCTCCTTTCAAGTTCAATGTTTGAAGGGGTGGTTTGGTAAATGGCAACATTCCTCTTTCTAGTTTTTTATTTTCGACAAGTATTTCTAAAATTATATTATATATACACTTGTTGGAGCGGACAAATTAAATATTTGCTTTTTCTTTTTTTAAATTTTATCTACTGAAATTGTCTTCTCTATTTTCTTTATTTTTAAAATTTTGTTTCATTTATTTTCTCTCTTAATTTTATCTTTAATTTTCCTGTAAAATAAAATATTAAAAAACCTAACTAAAATAATTGATGAAAATGAAATTAAAATCTCTCTCTTCCTCTATTCCCTTCTCTCCATATTTTCTCTCACACCGTCACTTTTCTCTCTCTCACCACAATGTATTTCCTTTTCTCCCCCTACTGGTTTTCTCCCTTGCGACAACGCATTTCCTTCTCTCTTTTTTTTTTTTTTTTGCAAAGTTATATATATGACGTACTTTCACACACTTGATTGGCCAATGGTATCAATATGACCTTTAAGCTCTCTAAACCCTAGAGACCATGCCAACAATATTTTAGAAATAGGACAAAGTCAACAACAATGGAAGAGTTTAAACACAAGATCTTTAAGTTGATGGGTTGGCTAAACCCTAGAGGATTTGCGATTGACTTTGAGGCTAGGGTTAGAAAACGTGATTGTACACGCTTTGGGTGCCATTTCGCTGCTGGATGAAGATGCAATTTGGCAGGGTGAAGCGGTGATCTGGGTTCATGACATAAAGCTTTATGTTAATCGTGAGTCGAATGGAACTTCTCATCACCTTGCTGAGAGAGAATTCTATTTTAGGGGTGTTTATGTGGATGTCAAATTTCCCATTTTGGATGCATCAGTGTGTTGAATCTGACCATCAATCTTGTGTAGCCTTGATGACTTTTTAATTGTTTATTTAATGAAGTTTCTTAAAAAAAAAAGACATATTTTATTATATAATTAAGATTGTCTTTTAACCCCTCATAAAAAGTTGTAATTCTTTATTTATTATTAAAAAAATTATTCATAAATCCCAACACTAATATCTTAAAACAACGGTACGTGTGAATGCAAAACAAAATAAAATAAAAACCGACTTTCAAAATTTACCAGTTAAATTAAAATTTTGAGTTTAAAATATAAAATCTTGAGTATAAAATATGTAATCGAAAAATGGTCTAAAAATGAAAAAATATATATATAATTAAAAATAAAAAAGATTAAGGTTATTTAAATTACATTACAACTGTCTAATCCATTAATATATGATTGTCATTTACATAAATAACACTTTAAACCTTACAAAATTGTTAAATTACATATTCTAAATTTTAAAATCAAGAATATTTTAAAAATGATATTGGTGGGGAAAATAATTAGGGGTGTAACTAATTTGTTGGTTCGGGTCGGTTTTCATACAAAACCAATCCAACCCGAAAGTAGTCGGTTTGTACTCAGGTTCGAGTCCGTTTCTTTTCGATTTTTTTTATCTCCTCCCTTGAAAATCTAAACCCTAGAATCTATCGACAAATGTTGAAATAAACATGAACATTTGAAGAGGGGAAAAATACTTTATTTATTTAAAAATCTAAAGCAGATCTTGCAAACCAAAAAAAAAATACCCTTCCTCAATCTTCTTTCTTGAAAACCCAACAGATCTTACAAACTCAAATTGCAAATTTGAAAAACAAATATCTTTTCTGTTTTCTATCTTCTTCTTTGAAAATCTAACAAATCCTACAACCCCAAATATGCAAATTTGAAAAAAAAAAAATCTGTTTTATCCTATTCTCTATTTTCTTTTTTGAAAACCCAATCTTGCAAACCC